TTCCAGCCCAAATGATTGTATGATTCTATTCTATTCTATTCACTTACGCTGCTCTTGTCTAAGAGCAAAAACCAGAAGATTCCTGCAAGGGCTGCTGTAAGCCCAAAGACTGAGGACATCCACATCTTCTAGTCTCAGCACTTAATGGATCTCTCTCTTTCAGGGCAGAACATAAATGTTTATCTTGTGTATACATGGGACATTGGTTCTCTTGGATTTTTCTGTCTCACTGACCTGTTTTTGAACAGTCTATTAGTTGCTTAGTATCACTTTTTACACACCAACATCACTTAATGCCACACAATATCTTTGGTTCAGAATGCTGCATAAGAATTTTTAAGCAAACCTACCACCCAACCAATATCCCTCATTCAGTGACCACCCATAAGTCTTAATAACACCAAAACAAATTTGTCAAGTGAAATTCAGAATGTTTGCTGAGGTCTGAAGCCTTCATTCTCCGGATTTGCAAAATCCTTCAAAAACTTTGCTGCAGAGTTCACTTTCAAGGGCTGGGGATGAAAATCTTCTCTAAAAGGTTGCATGCACTGCAATTGCATGCAGAATTTTATTTACATGGATAGGATTTAGATCTAGCCGTTCCCATCCAGTAACAGACTTTTAAAGACTGAAAACATAATTGGCATCCATGGCCAGTAATAAAAATCATGCTTCCCAGACACTCTGTGATTTCAGTAGCAGATGGCATGCAGCCACCTCTGAGAGATGCTGTTTTACGACTGTGAATGACTTGCACTGAATCTTGATAAACGAGCACTTGATCTAATCACCAGCCTGCTTTAAAGTGAGCTTTGCAAAAAAATTACTTGCAGCCATCACTTACTGTGACTGATTTCTGTTCCAGATCTATTCCTCCAGCAACACTAAATCCCAGGCCAGCTCCTTCTTCTTTGTGCAAGACTACAAAGTGTGTGTCTTCTTTGCTCTAGCAGAAAAATGGACATAGGGGGGAAGGAGAATTAAAACAAAACAAAAGATCAAGACCAAGTTCCTGCATAAATGACAAACTCCCAGTACCCTAAGATTATGGCAAGTGAAAAAAGTAACTCAAGGAATTAAAACTGAGAAATTAAATGCATTTCTTTTCATGCTACAGATGAGTAGCAGCCAGATAGGAGAACTCAGCTGACAGCAAAGCTTTCTTCAGACAGTCCAAGACTAGAAAGCAAAGTCAAAATTAGGATAGTGGAAGGGTATTAAACCTTGGGCAGCCTAATTTTCACAGGTTGTAATCAACTTTGCATTGCTTGATATTTTTCCATCAAAACTCAATAGTTCCATTACACCTTTCTAGACCAAGCACTGTACTTCCCAGGGAATTAGTAACACTTTGGTGATCTCATTTCTCCTTCCTCTTGAAAGGCAGTTACAAACATTTAATGCAGGGCAGTTGCATCAACCTCTTCTCAGCAGTGCTGGACAATCTTGCAAGGGGCAGTGACTACAAACTGAAGCTCAGAAAGGTTAGATGGGATAGCAGGAAAAATTGTCTCACTTTGGAGAGGAAAGTAAGGAGCCTGTTAGTGATCCAAATGGAACTAAGCTGGGCTGTTGTGGAAATGGGAGCATCCAGCAAAGGAAAGGGACTGGTGCAGGCCTGTACCAGGGCTGAACTTCGCTCCAGACCAGAACAACGGTGTGAAACTGATTTCTTCAAAATGATGGCCTGCTGCCAAAATACAGAATTTGCCATGGGAGAGAAGCAGTCCCATCCAGCAAGTCTGGTGCTGCCTTCTGAACAGTTATTGGGAAAAAAACAGATGCTGTTACAGAGACCACATTTTGTGGTGTAAGGGCGACTATAAGCAGGCTTTTGGTGGAGCAAGGGGATAGTAACCCTCTGTGGCGCACAGCATCAGAAGTGGGGAGTAGAAAGCAGGCCTCTCAGCTTTTCCTTGGGATCCCATCCAACATCAGTCATTTCCAGAAAGTGCCAACACTAAAATTAATGGCACATCATTAGAAACCAATCTCTTCATCTATTTAGCATTAAATGACATATTTAGTTCGCTAAACTCAACATTTTAACTCAGCGTTTGCCTTTTGTTTCAAAAGGCACAGGGAACCACAGATTATTATCATTTTTTGGTGAAACAACAGTCAAATTCTTGGCCTCAGTGTATGCTTTTTTGCCAAATAGTGGCCCTCGAAGATTTTCTGCATTAGGGGCATCCCTGCAATGCACAAAGCCAACATCAGAAACTGATGCTACCCTGCTCCACATCACTGATCCATCAGTGCTCGAGAAGAGAGGAGCAGTCAGGGTTGAACATCTTAGACCACAGTCTTTTGTAGATGTTAAGACCCTTCTCACCTGTAGTCAAGTGAGAACAGCTTTATGTTAAGCTAGAAATAATAAAATCAGTTAAATATCTAGGCTAGCCCTTTTCAAAGTGTAGCAAGGGCAATGGAAACATACACATATCTTTGACGGTTAAGTACTATAGCAACCCTTTTTGTTTAACAGGTCAAGTTCCTTCCAGCCTTTGCTACCACCACTTAATTTGCTTACACTGGGAAAGAAAAAAAAAAATAAAATAAAAAAATCAAGAGGCTCAGATGTTAGAGGGTTGTGCGAGGTCCACATGTCCCAGGCCAGTCAGCAACATCGTCTGAACCCTGGCTTCCCATTGCCAAGGTCATGCATTACCTCCCTCCCCAGCTCTTAATACTGTCCTCAGCCAGCATGTGTACTATGGGGCACAAACACCTGGCTATGGATGCTTATTGCTTTACTTGGCCACACTGTGGACACGCAAGGCCTCCAGTGATCACCTCTGTTTAGTCTGTTAGCCAAAGATCAACAGTTACAGAGATTTAAACAATAAAATGTGCATATATTTATTTTTTTATATTAGCAGCACTTATTAAATGCTAGCAGTAAATTCAGCACTGTTCAGAGCAAAAGATGATGACAAACTCTTCCTACGGAAGCTGTCTGTCCGAATCAGGCAGCCCATCCCATCTTTCAGCAATTGCGTAACTATGAAGAAGTGTCCTATTGTACACTTAAATCCAGAATTTGACTAGCATAAAATTTTCCAGTGTATGTGCCATACTGGGCTTAAATATGGATAAGAAACTATGCAGACAAGGAGTGCATTCCAAAAAGCATTTCGATTCACAAATATTTGAGTTCTCAGGCTTTGAAAAGTGGCATAAATTAATAATCTCTCCAAGACCCCATGCAAAACACTTTAAGGAACATTTAAGTACCTTTGGCCAGAAGTACAATCCAATCCTAATTTTATCAGTAAACCTACCAAACCCCTTGGCTCACCAAGCTGTTGGGACCAGCAAGCTTTGGCGATGTTCTCCTTGGAAGGAGGTAAGGCTGGGTATTTTGGGGAGGTCCTGCTCCCCACAGCCTGTTCTATGTTTGAAATAGCAACCTTTGTGAATAAGACTCAGGAATGCTGTAAACGCAGCTCAGCCAGCAGTTATACAAACCAGATGGCAGCTTCCCCTCCAGTGCTGTCATTATTTTATCAACTTCTGTTCTGATTTAAAAAAGATGTGGATGTATTTCACAAACACTGCAAAGAGGAAAGTAATGTTCTGGCAATCATTTAATTTTGGAGGTCTTCTTTAAAAACAAAGATAATCATAGAATCATAGAATGGTTTCGTTGGAAGGGACCTTAAAGATCACCTTGTTCCAACCCCACTGCCATGGGCAGGGACACCTTCCACCAGACCAGGTTGCTCAAAGCCCCATCCAACCTGGCCTTGAACACTTCCAGGGATGGGGCATCCACAACTTCTCTGGGCAACATATGCCAGGGCCTCACCACCCTTACCATGAAGAATTTCTTCTTAATATCTCATCTAAATCTTCCCTCTTCCAGTTTAAAGCCATTGCCCCTTGTCCTATCACTACAGGCCCTTGTAAAAACTCCCTCTCCAGCTTTCTTGTAGGCCCCTTCAGGCACTGGAAGGCTGCTCTAAGGTCTCCCCAGAGCCTTCTCTTCTCCAGGCTGAACAACCCCAACTTTCTCAGCCTTTCCTCACAGGAGAGGTGCTCCAGCCCTCGGATCATCTTCGTGGTTCTCCTCTGGACTA